CCTTTATCTGGTGGATGACCCTAATCCTGGCCTCTTCATTTGGGCTGACACTCTAAGAAGGTTGACCCCAGATTCCAAAGTAAGGTGTCAAATCAAGAGCAAAATTTTCAAAGCATGTGGCCAAGAACCAGCTCCTTGACTCTTGTACGTCTCACTTTTATCAAAGATATACAAGAGTCGGCAGGAAGATTTCCTGGGAAAGAGACTCAACATTGAGCACTGTAATACCCTGTGAAAGGGAATGCCCTTAGCTCAACCCTAGAAAGCTGAACATGTATCCCTGAGCCACCGTTCTCTGCCTGATAAGTCTCGTGTGTGACAGACTGGCTGGGTTAGATTCTAAAGATCCCAGTAAACTCAGAGCGACTTACACTCTGTTTTGTTTTTTGTTTTTTTTTATTTGAGATGGAGTCTCGCTCTGTCACCCAGTCTGGAGTGCAGTGGTACAATCTCAGCTCACTGCAACCTCTGCCTCCCGGGTTCAAGCAATTTTCCTGCCTCAGCCTCCTGAGTAGTTGGGACCACACCTGGCTATTTTTTTGTGTTTTTAGTAGAGAGGGGGTTTCACAGTGTTAGCCAGGATGGTCTCGATCTCCTGAACTCGTGATCTGCCCGCCTCAGCCTCCCAAAGCGCTGGGATTACAAGCGTGAGCCACCATGTCTGGCTCAACTTACACACAGAGTTGATTGGGGCAGAAAATGTGAGTTTCATATGTGCCAGATGTAGGCAGACCACAAGAGGAAGCTGACATGGGGTGCCTCGGGCCCTGTCCAATAGGACATCCCAAGAGGCAAAAAGCTTCTGCACAGAGAATCAAAAGATTCCTCGGGGCTGCAGAGGGACTAAGGAACCAACCCAGGTTTCTTCCATCTTCAGGTTCCTCCGTTTTCAGGACCTTGTCACCATCTGCATGGTTGAAGCCTCTGCCACGTTCAGGTTCAGCCGAAGGGATAGGGGAAGAGAGTGGGGAAGAGGTACACCTGGAAGATGGAGGATGCACAGAACTGCAGGGAGGCCCCTGCAGATGACAGCTTCCTAGTGACAGCGGATGGTTTCTGAACAATCTACAAAATACCCCCTGAGATTGCAATGCTGTGGTTAAACAACGGCCCCACTTGGAGCGTGACACCATCGTCCCGTAGCAACTAGGCAAGGAAGAGCCTCCCTGCTCCCCAGTCTCTTATCCCTCCACCCCCAAATCCACCTCCCAGGAATGGAGGAGAGAGAAATCAGAAGTAGCTAAAGAGAGAGAAGGCAAGTGAGAAAAGTAAACTGTCCACGCTTCTCGAGTCTTTTTATGTGCAGTAGAGCATAACTGGGGGAGCAAGGGAAACTCTTGTGAATGAAGACTGGAAATTTGATGATCACACCAGCCAAGGAATTTTAGCTGAGACTGTACTTACCACTTAAAATGCCTTCAGTATATTCTGTTTTCCAAGCGAGATGAAAAAATCATGGGATAGTCCAAGTTTTCATCTGGGCATGGGGGTTGGATGTGAATAAGCGCTCAGCACCAATGTAAAACAGCCTTGGGAGCCTAGACTTGCTTTCTGATTTAATCTGCTAAGTGCAGCTTGTTTGAAGTCAGACCGCCCATGGGGTCCCAAGGTTGGCCCGGCCGTGTTAGGGTGGCTGCTTGGAGATAACTGGCCGGCCAACTGGATCTCTCCTCTTTTCCACCGTGAAGAGTCACCACTGGGCGGCCGGGCACAGTGGCTCACGCCTGTCATCCCAGCACTTTGGGAGGCTGAGGCGGGAGGATGACCTGAGGTCGGGAATTTGAGACCAGCCTAACCAACATGAAGAAACTCCGTCTCTACTAAAAATACAAAAAAATTAGCCGGGTGCGGTGGCTCATGCCTGTACTCCCAGCTACTTGGGAGGCTGAGGCAGGAGAATCGCTTGGACCCGGGAGGCAGAGGTTGTGGTGAGCCAAGATCGTGCCATTGCACTCGAGCCTGTGCAATAACAGCAAAACTTCATCTCAAAAAAATTAAAGTCACCACTGGACATGGGGCCACCTAGCAAAGGACTGCATTTCTCTGGCCTTCTCACAGGTAGGTCACACGGCTGGCTCTTGCCAGTGCTAGAAAGTGGAAGTGATGCATCCATGGAAACGGCAGGTGTACCTCCTCCACACTTTCTTCCCCGTCCCTTTGACTGAACCTGAATGTGGCAGTGGCTTCAACCCTGCAGATGGCGACAAGGTCCTAGAGATGGAGGAAGCTGAAGACGGAAGAAACCCTGCGTGCCTGAGTGACCACGTGGAGCAGAGTGACTTTTCTATGAAAAAAAAAAAGTTGAATTCTTCTCTTGCTATAGCAACTCAGCCTTTTACTGTGAGTGGAAGAGCACCCCATTTTCTGAGTTCTCTGAACCACATCCAGACACTGCACCCCAACTCACTGGACTCTCCTGCTAGATAGCAGCCCCTCAGCTGGCTCAGCAATAAAAGCCCTGGAGACAAAAATGTGCTTTGGAATCAGACGCGGTTTCTCACTCAACTCTGCTTCCTGCTAGCTGTGCAACCTTGGACAAGTGACTTACCTCTGTGAACTCAGTTTCCTCTTATCCAAAAAGGGATTCCAGCTAGCTCTGCCATGAGGAGCCAACGACAGGATGGAGATAAAAGGCTCAGCACAATGCTTGGCACAGAATGAGGTCTTCGCAAAAGTCGGATCCTTTTCCTTTCCCCCATTGCCGGCAGCCTTCACTGCTGAGTCCCTGGCAGGCCTCCCATCGGCCCCCACCAAGCCTTGACGCAGACTGGAATTTTTCTTTCGAGTAAGTGACTGGTTCAGGGAGGCAGAACGAAGCAAGTACTTAGAGTTCACAGCACGGAATTCTTTGAAATCATATTCCCCATGCTCCCTTCCTAGGGTCGGGGGATTAGCTGGCTGTCCTGGGCTTGGCTCTAAACGGTCTTGCCATGAGGGGAATTTTCCTACAGTCTTATCCTACCCTCTGTCCCAGCGCTAAGAATACATATGTCTGTCTCCTCTGCAGCAGCCCGTCGCTGTCAACCCCATTCCAGGGCAAGGACTGTGGGATGCAGGGAACAAGGAGTGGGGCTAGAGCTGGGGCTGGGGCGAGCGTGTTCTGCTTGGTGATGATCGGAATGTTGTGAGCTATGCAACAGGAATATTAATTCCTTCTCGCAGAGGCCAGCAGGGCTGCGAGAGGCTGTGGGTGTGTATCTGGTCCAGATGCCTTCCTCCCGCCTCCCATTTACTCGTGAAGAAAAGGAGGCCCGGAAGGGGACGAGACTTATTTGCAGATTCACATAGAGAAAGGGAGTGGCAGCAGTGGGCTCCAGCTGGACCCCGTGGGAGGCTGGCCCCGTGCACCAGTGCTCGTCTTACGGGGCAGCGCTGATGGCGATTCGGAAGTGAGTGATCACCTCCAGGCTTCGTGTGCATGAAAACCGAGATCTAGAGGGTATCTGAGGGACATGCCCCCCACACTGACCTTCTGTGACTGGTGTGGGCAAAAGCTTGGAGGGGAGCCGGACTGCTAGATTAGCAGAAGCTGAGAGATGGGCCCCAGGTAGGCAGAGGTTAGGAGATGTGTCCTTGGGTGGGCAGAGGTTAGGAGCTGAGCTCCCAGGTAGACAGAGGCTGGGAGCTGAGCCCCCAGGTAGGCAGAGGCTGGGAACAGGGCCCCCAGGTAGGCAGAGGCTGGGAGCTGAGCCCCCGGGCAGACAGAGACTGGAAGCAGGCCCCCCCCAGGTAAGCAGAGGCTTGGAGTGGGGCCTCACATAGGCAAAGGCTGGGAGTGCGGTCCCCACCCGGCAGAGGTTGGGGGCTGAGCTCCCCAGTAGACAGAGGCTGGGAGTGGGGCCTCTAGACAGGCAAAAGTTGGGATTCATCCAGCTCCCCACACCACGGACTTGAGTGGTTTTGCCTCCACCACAGCCCAGCTCTCTTTGGTGAATGTGTGTGCAGGGGTTGTGGCTTCCCAGGGTACAATGTGGCTCCCAGTGGACCTTGAACTACCTGCCTCTTGACCTCCTTTAGGGCCTGGCTCCCTGATCCTGCTGGTGGCATGTGCTGATCAAAAGAACAGACTGTCTCCACCTCCCGGATGCAAAATCCTTCCTCACCCAGACGGACAGAGATCAGAGAGCCTCATGCTGAAGCCCTGATCTGCCGCTTCACCTGCTATGCCATCTTGGACAAGCCTAAATGCTCACATGGGGTGAACGTGTGTGGCTTCCCTCAGGGCTGGGTGACAGGATGGCGTGAGACGTGCCTGGTAAACACATAGTGGGCACTTGCTGGCCTCTTCCTTTCCCTCTGCCCAGGGAAGCGTCTGAGTGCCAGGGGGCATGTTCAGTGTTGTTCAGGGCCCAGACCCTCTCCCTTGGCCTCCCTTTGCCATCCCCACCCACATCCTGTCTCACTTCACAGGAGGACTCGTGCTGTGAGCCCGTGTGTACCCAGTTCCGTCTATAATGTGGTCCAACAAATCCACTACAGGCAGGCGGGGGCCGTGTCCCGGCCCCTGGAGTGAGTCTAAGTAAGGCTGCCCACGCTTGGCATTTGAGGCCAGACCATTCTCAGCGGGTTGGCGGGGGGGGTGGGTGGCCTGTCCATTGGAGGACACTGAACTGTGTCCCTGGCCTCCATCCACGAGGTGAGAGTAGCACCCCCAGCCCCAGGCTTGGAAAAGGTTTCCAGACATTGTCAAATGTCCCCGGGGGTGAGATTGCTGCTGTACAGGATCCATGAAGAACTCAGACACAGACAACCTCCTGGAGCTGACGGTCTGCAGGAGGCCCCTCCCATGTGGACACAGACACCTCTGTGCATACACCCAGGGCCAGGCAGAGGGAGGGCATCACTTCCCCCAGTTTAAACTTGAAGGTGGACTCAGTGCTGACCCACAGGGCCAGGGCACCCCACAGGTGCATTTTGGGAGGGAAAGGCCAGCTTTGGTTGGGGAGGGGGGCACACCTCCTCTTGGAAATACACAAAATACACATGGGCAAGGACACGGCTTTGTAACAAACCCACTTTTATTGATAGTGTACATGGAGATCCATGGCGGCAGGGTGTGCCTGGGTGAGTACACCACACACCTGTGCAGCCAGGGTGCCCGGCCTGCTCGGAGAGCTCGGGCAGGGGGTGGAGCAGGGGACAGAGGCAGGGTCGGAGCTGCTGCTTTGGGCACAGACGCAGGCAGGGCCAAGGCTGGGGTGCAGGTGCAGGTACGCAGAGCTGGGGCCAGAGCTGGGTTGCAGGTGCAGGTACACAGGCAGGGGCCAGGGCATGTGTACATCTGTGTGTACTTGTATATACATGAGCATGGTGTACACAGTAACTACAGGGACCCTCACAGACTGAGCTAGGGAGAGAGTTGAGGACAAGATGTCCCAAAGCCCTGAAGACCCCAGGGACCAAGCATCAAGAGGGGGCACATCACGGTATGTACTGAATGCCCAGTGCTAGCTTGCTTCTGCCACCCACAGACTTGCTGTGTGACCTGGGGAAAGTTACTTACCCTCTCTGGACCTCAGAAAGACCCATTAGATACTCACTAAGGTTCCTTAGGGCCCTAAAACTTCAATACATTTAGAGAGATTAAAATACAAAATATGCTTGTTAAGAGCTGATGAGAAGGGCCTTTGGTTTATGGGTTCGAAACCCAGTACAGCCCAATCCCGGGCACAAGGAAAAGACCCACCCTGAGCTTCTCTGTTGGAGCCCTCCCTGGCTCAGTCCTGAGTCCCAGCTGCTCCTCCCTGCCCCCTCACCAGTGTGTGTGCAGAGGGTGGTGGGACAGCAGGGGTGGGCAGGGGCCAGTGCTGGGGACCCTCTTGGTTTCCTAGGACACAGTGAACCCAGCACCCAGTAGGTGCTTAATAAATGCTTGAGTAACAAGAACAGTAGAGGACAGCTTGGTTCTAGGTGGAGCTGTACCCTGAACTTGCTGGGGGGCAGGGGTGAGGCCTGGGGCTCATCCTGTCCCCACCGGGCTGTGTCCTTGCCTGGTGGTACCCTCTGTGAAATGGGAGCATTTCACATAAAAAAGCAGCTGTGGCCTGTCTGCCCCACTCTCGTGCAATCGTCTGTAAACTGTAGAGCTCAATGGCAGAGGTCAATATCTAGCTGCAGACAGACCATGGGAACCCTGTTTGGGAGCGGAGGAGGCATCCCTGGTGGAGGCCGTGGATCTGAACTGGATGAGCGCCTGGCCAAGGAGGGGGTCACTAGGCTTTTACAGTACAATGATTTCCATTTCTACTGCTATACATGACATGAAAACAGCTGCAACCACAACAAAGCACAACTGTCGGGGGGAGGGACCTCGGAGAGGAAGGACCGGGGAGGGGAGGCTGAGGAACTCGGGCAGGAGGTGGGCGTGGTCTGGATGTGGCCATGCCCCCTTCAAACACACAGCCACCACTGGCTCAATGTCAGGGGTAGCTGGGGGCATCTTGTGTGTGAGCTGGGGGTAGAAGAGGGGTGCAGAGGCAGCTGAACCGGAGGGCAGGAGTTGCGGGGCTAAGAGAGATGTTCTCTCAGCTGCCACCCAAACCAAGCTGGGTCTTATGCCAGGAGAGAGGAGACCTCTCCTATCTGGGTCCCGGTGTCCTTTCCATCCTGGTTCTTGTCCCAGGACGTTCCATTTGACGCAGCAATCCTCACCCCTCTGGAATCAGCGTTTCTTCCAACCTCAGGAGAGGAAAGCGTAACTCGGGTCTCTGCGTAACTCTTTAGGCTGCAGAGATGTGTCTTCCCATAGAGGAGCTGAACCACCAAGGAGCTGTGGACAAGGAGACTCGGGAACGCTGTGAGAAGGCAGATGGATATGCGGAGGCAAGTGCCTGGGGGCCTCCAGTCTGGTACCAAGGTCTGTGAACAAGCCTGCTACGGGGGCCTCGGTGGGGCAATGTGCACAGCGGGCATCTGGGGCCACCTCCCTGAAGGCACAGCCCAAGCCCCATGCCAGCATCCCTTGCTCACTGGATGGTGCACTTGTCCCTCTCGCGGGCCTGGCCTTCCCGAAGGACCTTGGCCTTGATGTACTTGAGGTCACTGTTGACACTGGGGCGGCGGGCGAAGGGCGAGACCATGCCATAGGCGTCTACCTCCTTGATGCGGCGCATGCAGAAGGGCCTGGGATGGAAGGCATCACCGTACTGCACGGAGATCTTGCGGTGCAGGGCGGGGCTCATCTCGTGCGGCAGCTTGGCCATGCTGAAGAGCACGTAGAACATCTCGTCCACGTTGGTGTTCTTCTTGGCTGACACCTCGAAATAGGCGCAGTTCTCATCGCCCGACACCAGCAGCTCGGCCTCGGTGGTGGGCACCTGGCGGCAGAGCTCGCCGTGGTCATTCTTGTTGCCACAGATGACCATGGGCAGCTCCGCCGCCTCCTTGGTCTTGTTCTTCAGGCACGACTTGACCTCCAGGATCTGCTTCTGGAGGCGCTTGACCTCATCGAAGGACTCCCGGTTATCCAGGCTGAACACCAGGATGAAGACGTCCCCTGCAGGGAGAGAGCCCAGGCAGTGAGTGCACCGGCCGGCTGCGCCCCCTGCCCTCCGCTTGCCACAGAACATCAGTCCCAACAGCTGGCAGTCACAGGTGCCCTGAGGCAGTGGCCCGGCGTCACTGACTTAAAACCTTCACAGCAATTCTGTGGGGTAGCTGCGATCATTCTCCCTGTTTTCCAGAGCAGGAAACTGAGGCTGAAGGGGTTGAAGCCCCTGTTCAAGGTCACATAGCTAACACGTGGTACCGCTTGGTTTAAATACGGTTAATGCACTTCACATTTCCTTGCAGGGCTGGAGAGGGGTGAGAGTGACTTGTGTGAACTGCGTTCAGATAATAATAAAGGTCACTTCCAGGAGAGCAGGGGTCCTGCCTGTCTTGTTCAATGCCTGGTTTGCGTCTGGCCTCATCCACTTACCTGCAGATCCCGAAACCTCTGTAATCTCAGTTTCTCTGTCTGTTTCATGCAGATGAAATATGACCTTGCAGGATTATTTTGAGAGTTATACAAGATAATGAATGGACAGTGGCACATGCTCAGTAGCCTCGGGTGTCAGTGATGACGAGAACGAGGGCCTGCTGGGAGCCAACCATCAGGTATATGCTCCAGGCCCACTGTGCTCACTGATTCCTCGCTACGCCTCTGTCAAGGAGATTTTGTTACCTTTGTGTTACAGGTGAGCAAACTGAGGCTCAGAAAGGGTGTGCGACCTGCCTGAAATCACACAGCTTCTGTGTGGCTAGGCTGAAACTTTTACCTGATTCTGCCCTCACCTAGCTGGTGCCTGGTACACAGTAGGTGCTCTCGGCTTCTCAAATCACAGGATGAAAAAGTGAGCGCTGGCCTCCAAGGCCCACACTGCCTCCACGATAACTCACTGCATCACTCAAGGCAGGCTTTGGAATCTGAAACGGCGGCTGCTGTGGAGATGGTAAGGCAGTGGGGAGGCTGTCTGGATGGGTGCCTCCATCCCAATTTCCAGCTCTCAATAAGCACTTTTCTCACTTTTACTTAAACTTTTTATTTATTTATTTATTTTGAGATGGAGTCTTGCTCTGTCGCCCAGGCTGGAGTGCAGTGGTGTGATCTCGGCTCATTGCAACCTCCACCTCCTGATTTAAGTGATTCTCCTGCCTCAGCCTCCTGAGTGGCTGGGATTACAGGTGCCTGCCACCATACCTGGCTAATTTTTGCTTTTGTTTTTGTTTTGTTTTGTTTTCTTGAGACAGAGTTTCACTCTTGTTACCCAGGCTGGAGTGCAATGGCATGATCTCGGCTCACCGCAACCTCCGTCTCCTGGGTTCAAGTGATTCTCCGGCCTCAGCCTCCCGAGCAGCTGGGATTACAGGTGCCCAGCACCACGCCTGGCTGATTTTTTGCCTTTTTAGTGACACAGGGTTTTACTACATTGACCAGGATGGTCTCGAACCCCTGACTTGAGGTGATCCACCTGCCTCGGCCTCCCAAAGCACTGGGATTACAGGCATGAGCCACCGCACCCAGCCAATTTTTGTTTTTTTTTTAGTAGAGACAGAGTTTCACCATGTTAGCCAGACTGGTCTCAAACTCCTGACCTCAAGAGATCTGCCCACCTCAGCCTCCCAAAGTGCTGGGATTACAGGCATGAGCCACTGCATCCAGCCACTTTTGCCCAAACTCTTGATAGCCTTGTGGTGTGGATACAAGATCCCTGTCTCACAGATGAGGAAACTGAGGCCCAGAGGAGTTAGCAACTGGCCCAAGTTCTCGAGAGGAGAAGCAAGCACTTCTGGCAGAACGGCTGCCTACTTCCTCTGCACCCCTAGAGCACACCACTTGCTCTGGTGTGTTTGTGTATTACTTACTGGCACATGGCACATTCAGAATGGTGTCCAGGCCAAGGATGTGCTCCAAACAGTGAGCTCTGGCACAGAGGAGGGCTCCATCGCCCACTCATCGTGGTCTCCTCGGGGCCTGGCACACAGTAGGTGTTCACCAAGGCAGGCTGAATGGATGGGAGTGATGGAGTGAAAGGCACGTGCAAGGCAGCATCAGCTTGGCAACTTTTCCTGCTTGTGCTGCCAAACCCCATCCCATTAGGCTAATCCGGGGCCCCTGAGGACTCGCGGCCTTGACATATTCAAATGCGAGTCTGCGATGCCAAGCATCAGAGATCGGCCTGGCTGGCAGCTGGAAGAAGAGCTCACGGTGGAATTAATGGCTTTCAGAATTTCCTGCGCGGCAGGAAAATGAGGTTGGAAAAATGAGGTTCCACTAGGTTGGAAAATGAGGCATGGGTTGGTGAGTGAAAAAAACAAGCATCAAACAGATGTGCTCAGAATGAGATGCGCTGGGAAAAAGAGCCAGGCACAAATACTCCCAATTGTGGGGATACAAATACGAACGGCAGTGTATTCACGGAGGCCCGGATGTCTCCACGCCAGACGGCCAGGGTGGCCACCTCCAGGGCAGGGGCAGGAGCCTAGGACAGGGAACATGGGTCAAAGGGGCATTAGCTTTATCTGCAGCATTTGCAGGAGGGTGTGTTTGTGTATTACTTGTGTCACTGAAAATTCATGCTGAAAACAGGCACCGGCTTCCTCTCTTCATCTCCCCGCTCCCTTCCTGTCCTTAGCCTTACTTATGGCAGTGGGTACCCAGTCTCCTCCCCGAGGCTGGGAGGGCTGACACCCATGCAATCAATACGCATCATGTGCTGGAAGCTCCTGATGCGTATTGTAGACTGCGCTCAGATAATAATAAAAGTCATTTCCAGGAGAGCAGGGGTCCTGCCTGTCTTGCTCAATGCCTGCATTGCATCTGGCCTCATCCGCTTAGCTGCCAGCTGTCTGGGGCAGTCCTCACAGCCTCCCCATGGGGTATAAGGTTAAGCCCACTGTGCAGCTGGAGAGGCTGAGACTCAGACAGGATGCATGTACCTCCGGTCACACATTTAAGCCAAGAGGCTCAGACGGGATTCGAACACAGGTTGACCCAGGGCTCTCCTATCTACATGCCCTTTCTCCAGAACTCGGGGTGGAGTGAGGAGCTTGACTGCTGTTTGGGTTAGATGCTCCAAAAAGCCAGCCTGGAAAAGGAAGCACTCAGGAGGACCCCCCTACCGGCCACAGCCTCAGTCTTGGCCCTGAGGCCTGGGGCAGGGCTGGGCATGGCATGGGTTTCTCGGTGTGGAAGTTATATTCTTTTGGGGGTATCTTAACAATGCCTAGAGAGTTGCCTGCTCACTCCTTCCTTTATCCCTGGCCAGCAACGGGAGGGGCGTGGCTTGGGAAATGACTGTGTAGCCCGGAGCAGGCCCACGACAGAAGTTGCGCACTTACTATCTGCTCACAAAGCGCCTTACATATATTCACTCCTTTAATTCTCACCGTGCCCTTAGGATGAGTGTTGATGTGATGCTGATTTAACAGGTGAGAATGCTGAGGCATAGAGGGAAAATCCCTTGCCCTGAGTTACAAAACCGGGAAGCAGTGGAACCAGGACTCAGACCCAGGCTCTGGGTCCTGGGTTTGTCCTCTTAACCTCCCTGTCCCTCTGCACTGCTCCCAGCAGAGCTGAGAGACCATGCTGTGGTTTTGTCTGAAAGTACAGGCGCAGACTACCTTTACGAGCTGTGGGACCACTGGACTGAGTTCCTTAACCTCTGTGGGCTTCAGTTTCTCCACTTGTAAAAATGGAATGAATAAACTATTTACTTCTGAGGGTTAAATAACCACATGCCAAGCTCTAAGAATAGGACCAGGTCCACCGCTCCTGAGAAGTGTCAGCTGCTGCCATCACCATCACTGTGACCATGACCAAGCCCCCTTCCCTTTGGTGACCACTCCCTGGATCCTGCCCTTACCTCTCTAGGAGGTGGCAAAGGCCTGGGGTGTGGGAGACCTGAGCCCCGTGGACTGATGATGGGCCTTGGAGCTCTGCTGGGTCATCTCCAGAGGAGGGAAGCAGGAGGCTAGGCATCATTCTGTTCCCTAGAAAGGAATATCCCTGGGGCATGCTGCTATCAGCTCCTCATCTGGAAGGTGGCACCGACAGCCAGGAATCAGTCCGGAGTCTAACAGAATGGAATCCAGCCCCTGCCTCCATCACTAGTTCCAGCAAGTGGCAAAACCTCTCTGAGCCTCATTGTGCAAGGATGACGCCTGTCTCAGATGATGGCTACGCAAGTACCGTGCAAACTGCCAAGTGCGCAGCACACTCCACACCCAAGTCCCGGCCCTGCCACCCCAGCCCCGGCAGCGGGCCTCACCTGTGAGGATGGAGAGCCTGCGCATGGCAGGGAAGGGGTGGTTGCCAGAGGTATCCAGGATGTCGAGCTGGTACATGTCGCCGCGGATGTTGTACACCTTGCGGTGGAAGTCCTCGATGGTGGGTGTGTACTGGTCCTCGAAGCGGCCATTGAGGAAGCGAGACACGATAGAGCTCTTGCCTACCCGAGAGGCACCCAGCACCACCATACGGTATGAGTTCTTGGCGGGCACACTGAGCGTGCAGTTCCCGCTGGACAAGGTCTTCATCATGGCTCGGGGCTGCGACAAAGAGTGAGGGAAGTAGTCATCAGGGGGCCCCCGATCTGGTCCCACCACCCTTTGTTAGAGGACTTGGCCTCAGGGGGCCCCCGACCTGGCCCTGCCACCCCTTGTTAGAGGACTTGGCCCCCTCTCTTGGGGCCTCTGTCTAGGTCTCAGTTTTCTGTCTGTAGAATGGAAACATCATATGAGGTTCTAAGGGGCCTTGGAGTTCTACCCTCTCATTCATTCCTGCCCTCTCCTTCACTCCTTCCTCCATCCACTGACCCACTCACCATTCGTTCATTCACCCTTTCGTTTGTGCAAGCACCAGACTGCTCGAATTTGAATCTTCGCCTTGCCTCTCACTACTGATCTTGGGCAAGCAGCTTAATCTCTCTAGGAGTCACTTCTCATCTACAAAATGAACCCAACTCATAGAGCTGTTGCAATAGGCTCAGCACATGGAGAAATCTCAAAAACGGTATCTCTCGCAAGAATCCGTTCTTTCGCTGGTTCATCCACCTGGCTTTCCGGGAGCCTGTGATTATTCCAGGATAAGACAAGGGGAAGGCACTAGCATGCATTCTTAAACCTGGGGACAGCGGGGGAAGGGGGTTCATTCAGCCCTCCTGGAAGAAGGGAAGGATGTGTCCACACCGCATGCTCTAAGCCCAATGCCTGGGGTTGCTCCTGCAGCCATCCCAGGAGGACCCAACTTTAGAGCTGTGCTCTGCATCTAGCTGTCTCCCTCCTGCTCCATGACCTGCCTGGAGATTTTTGCCTCCCAGGCCCTAGGTGTTTACTTGCCTCTGGGAGACCCCAAGGCCCCGAGTAGAGGTGTGGGATGGGAAGTAACCCATGGCTGGCTCAAGCATCCCTCACAACTCCAAGGGTTAATGGATCTGGAGCAAACCCATAGCTGTCTATGGGAGCCTCTTGACCTCATGAAAGAGGCCGATGTGGGTCCAAGCTCTTGTATAAACAAACCCACGGGCTCCACCAGCGCCCCCCCAACTGCCCTTCGCAGCCCAGCCCTCCCTCCTTTCCTACCTCAGTGCCCACCAGAATCCCCCGAGCCCAGATCCCCTGAGCCCAGTCTCCGTAGTTCGTTTGAGCTCTGCTGAGATCGGCCTCCACTCCTTTGCTCACGCCACCCCCTGCAGAACGCCCTCCTCCCCTTACGTTTCAGGGTCTGGCTCAAGTGCCACCTGTTCTCTAAAGGTCTTTCTCATCCGCCACCCCAGGAGGAGTCCTTCCCCTCTCCAGAGGAGAGCTTTCCAGCCCCTGAACTGCAAACGGGCACAGGCCTGCTGAAGTATCAGTCCCCTTGGTCCTCTGCAGGCTGCCACAAGTTGTGCAGGTTGGGCACTGCACAAGGCACCCGGCTGGGTGGGCATGTAGGGGCTGCATCCCAGAGGTGGGGGCATCTGTGTCAAGGAAGAGGCACTGTTTTTATATTCACACAAAGCTCTGTATGTGCCAGCCTCGCTCCCTACCCCGGGATGCCCCAAGTCAGTTTCCTTGAGTGCCTCGTCCATTGGTCCAAGGCGCTTTCCAATACTATCCCTTTCCGGTTATCATGATGCTAAGGTGTGAGGTGGCCACTGGAGGTGGAGAGATCGCCTGCATGCGAGTCCCCAGCACACCTCTGGGTCTACTCACCCTGCCCAACTACCAGTCTCTGTGCAGGAAACCGGCTCTCAAAAATACCTTTGTGAAAAGCCCTGATTGGTGGTATTTGCCCATTTCCATGGGGTGAATGCTCCCACCACAGTCAATTCTAAGCTGCCAATTTGACTTCGATGAATGGATCACAAAGAGGCACACACAATAAGCCAGCTCAGCACACAGCAGACCCCAGGCCTGGAGCCACAAGGACAACTGCGGCCACCTGAGCCCATGCAGTGTGCCAAGCCGCACACTAAGTATAGAAATAATCATAGCCGGCATTTATTTTGCAGCTAAAATACGCCAAAATGTTCTAAGTGCTGCACACATGTTAACCTATTTCTCCCTTTAGTAACCCCGGAAAGCAGGCGGTGTTTTTCTCCAATTTACAGATGAGGAAACTGAGGCACAGAGAGGTTACATTACTTGCTTACAGTTACACAGCCAGTAACCAGCAGAGGAGGCGTTTGATCCCAGGTGGTCTGCGCCGTGCTCAGGAGGCTACGTGACTAGCCTACTTCGTTAATAGGGGAGCCTGGGCAATAGGTCAAGCCTAAGACCCCCAAGTTCTCCACCCAGCTCCTGCCTAAAGCTGTCTTTGAATTTATCCCACAAAACTGCCATGCCATGTACACAGCAGGAGCTCAGTAAATGGTCTGTACATTAACCGAATGGCAAGTGGCTCTGTCTTTGGGCTTGCCTGAAGCCCCCCTCTGGGACCTTCTCTCCTCAGCTTCAACCACCTGACTGGCCCAGGAGCCATGCTAAGGAGGGCCTCCCCGCCAGGGCAGCCCTGATGAGGTACCCAGGGCATACATGTGGGAGGCAGGAAATGAGAGAGAGAAGGGTGGAGAGGGGGCTGCCAGACCACAGCAGGAGCCCTTCTCAGTCTCTGCCAGGCTGTCTCAGCCAGCCCCGGCCTTCAGCAGAGATGGGGAGAAAGAACACCCCCCTCCCCAAGTCCCTCTGCAGAGAGTCTGACTTTGCTGGTGGTCACTTCTGTCTAGACAGAGGACAGGAAAGGGGCCAGAAGCTCCCAGGGACAGTATTTGTCTCTAACACTGCCCTGCCCAGCCTCCAGCCCAGAGCTTGGTACAGATGAGCTAATAGCAATGACTGAATGGGCTTCAGGGAGTCAGAGAGAGGAGGCAGGGAGTTGAAGAGGCAGAGAATCAGAGAGAGGAGGCAGGGAGTCAAAGAGAGAAGGCAGGGAATCAGAGACAGGAGGCAGAGTGTCAGAAAGAGGAGAGAGGGAGACAGAGAGAGGAGGCAGGGAGTCAGAAATAAGAGACGGGATCAGGAAGGGCAGAAAAGGAGGGGGAAAAAATCCCATGTGTCTTTTATCGCTGAGAGAAGACTGATTCTTCACATGGCTTGAGCCACGTGGGGCTGTGTGAGACATTTGGACACCTGGACGCCAGGTGACAGTGCCTCTGTGGGCTCCACCTCCCACCCCCACATCTTTCTTCCCTCTCCTCCCCAAGAGGTGGCACCATGGGCAGCCTCACGGACACAGCTCTCCTCTGCAGCTTGTTCTCCATTCACCCTCAGCTAGGCTGACCTCACACAGTGAGCAGCAGACAGGGCTGCATTTGAAGGACCCTTTGGGAATTTAGAGTCCAATATCAATGACTGAATGGATTTCAGGAAATCAGAGAGAGGAGGCAGAGAACCAGAGAGAGGAAGTAGGGAATCAGAGAGGGGAGGCCCAGAGAGGCAGAAGATTCAACAGAGACCCTCTAGCAGCACAGGTATCTGAATACACGTACAGTGACTTCTGAGCCTACCACACGGCCATTCTGAGGACAGGTGGGAGGCAGAAAGTTTCCAGAGCAGAGATGAGGAGGTGCCATCCTGGGGACACAGTAACCACAGCCAGGAAAGCATCCATCAGCCTACTTGACTGATGGGGACACTGACGCTCAGAGAGGTTAAGTCACTTGCCCCAGTTCACACAGCAGATGACTGGCTAGGCTGGGATCAGAACCAGGCTTTGACTCCAAAGCCTAGCTCTTAACTCTATGAAAACCCACCCCCAGACCAAAACTTGTCTTTTTCAAAACACTATCTGACTCAGTGAAGCCTCAGCTGGTGTCAGGCAGGGAGATGACCCCTGAGGCATATTATATTCTCACTCCCTCTCTGCCTGCAAGCAGTGGGGCAGGGAGGGGGTGGGCACCTCCCCGGATTCTCCCCCAACCCTGCCAGCCAGCTCCCAGCAAGTGCACATGTGGATTCGCCACTTCTCCCTGGAGCCTCTCCCCCAAGGCCTGCCCAGAAGATGGAGGGGTCACATGGGCACAGGCAGCAGGACGTCTGGACGTGTCCTCCTGGTATGTGCCCCAGAGCCTGTTTCACTGGACTGCCTCTCCTCCACCCTCCCATGCCTCCTCCATCAGCACACACTCAGCCTCTTTGGACACGTACATTGCAGTCACTGGCCTCTAGCTGCCACTTTGAGAGTCCGGGGGCTTGGCAAAGCCAACACCATCAAAGCCAACCCCATCTGGCAGCTCAGACGGTAGAAGGTAGGCAGGCATCTGGCTTCTGGCAGGCCAGCTCTGCCTCTCACCAGCCCAGCAGCCCTGGGCAAATGACTTGGCCTCCCGAGGCTCAGGTTACTCCATGTTAATGGTAAGAAACAAACCCCCTGTGTAGCTCTGGGCCTCCAATAAGTTTGGAGGCTGCCCCAGCTCCTGGCCCGCCGCAAACCTGAACACGTGTTGGGTTCTTTTCTTTGTGGTACTTTCTCTTGGCAGTCATGGGGCTGCCTAGAGCAGCAGGTGAGGCTGAACTGGAATGCGGGCACAGGTCTTGCAGGGATCCCATCTTGTCTCTGACATCACCAGAGGCCTCAATCACCGGCTCCTGACCTGGCTGCCCGCTCCCAGCCTGGCTTCCCACTTTCCATGAGGTCTTGGACATCCCCCGTCATCCTTCCAGTGCTGGGGACATGGGGAGGGGAGGGCACAGAGAGGCCTCCAGAGCTGCCTTCTGGGCCCTCCAAGACAGCTAAGTTACAGGAAACCCCTCCTGGGAAGGGAATCATCCAGGAAATTCACTCTGCACCAACCCAGAGAAAGCTCAAGAACTCTGGATAAGGGATGAGCTCCTTAATCTTCCTTCCCCACCTCCAGGTATGTAAGTTGCAGCCAGCTCCAGAAGGGGGACAGGAATGTTTGAGGACGTTGACTCTTCCTCCCTGAGCCTCAGTTTCCTCCTATTTAAATGGGCTCTTACTCTAGCTCTCTTAAATGGAAAGCCTCTGGCACCAAAACTAGCACATAGTAGAAGCTCAATGCATCTTTCTTTCCTGGGATAAGTAAAGGGTCTAGCACCCAGTCTGACACATAGAGTAGGTGCTCCAAAAATTTAATTTTCTCTAGGTATGTAAAGTTGCCAGACGACCCCGGCACATAGAAGGTGCTCAGCCAATTTCACTTTCTCTGGGTCATGCAAGGAACCACTGAGCTTTCCTACCCCAAGCCTCTACCCTTTCTTCCCGGCCGCTCCACTTCCCAGATCCCCAGCTCTGTTGGGGTGTCTCCTACCTGTGAATGGCGGGCCGGGCCTCTGACTCGGCTAGAAGAGCTGCTTGGAAGCGCCGGGAGCTGCGGGGAGCAGCCGCCTGCTGCTCCAGCCGCCGCCGAGCCACCCAGAGTCTGTGGCGCCTCTTGGGTCACTGCGCCTGGATCCTCCCCTGCGCGGCTCGGGGCGCCGGGCTCGGCGCGGCCGGGCAAGGAGGCGCGAGAGGCTGGTGCCCCATGGGTGGGCTCCGAGGGCTCGGCGGGGCCCGGGCAGGGGGCGGGCTCCGGCTCGCCGCCGCCGGCCCTGCCCTGCCCGGAGCCGGAGGCCTCCTGCTGAGCCAGGTGCCCGGAGGCTTGGGGATGTTCGATCCGGGGGTCCCCGCCTGGGGCTCCGGGGCCAGGGGTAGAGCGGTAGGGGCGACTCCAGTGATGAAGGAGCAGCCCCTAGAGATTCGGGGAGTGGGGGTCCTTTGGAGGTGACTATAGGTGCGTGTCCCGGGTGGGCGAACCCTCCTGGTCGCCTATGCCACCTTCTCCGCCTGCCCCGAAAAGGGTCGCTCGGATGGGGGGTAACGGGCTGGCGGGGTCGGCCGCGGCCTCCTCCTCTGCCCGCGGCTCTGCAGCTCTCCCCGCGCCGGAGGGACGGCTCCTTTCTCCCCGCGCGCGGCGACGCCAGCAGCTGAAGGAGGAGCAGGGAGCTCTGCTCTGCGCGCGTGTGGGAGGGGGCCTTGAACGCCGCCCCAAGGTTTCGCAGCTCCAAGTTAGCAGCAACCGGCTCCTCCTCCTCCTTCACCTCCTGCTGTCCCCAGAGGAGAAGAACTTTGCGCGTGGCCTGGCTTCTCCCTCCTGCCCTCTCCTGCAGGCAGACGCCCCTCTGCCACCCGCAGGGCGAGGAAGTTGCTGAGCCTTCCGAAAGGTGGCAGAAACCCAGGCTCCCGATGGCGGTCCCAGCGGCGCCCTCCCGCGCCCGTGCAAGCGTCGCTCACCTGCCCCCCGCGAGCGGCGCGTCCCGTCGCCCAGCGCCCGCGTCTGCCCTCCCGAGCCCGCTCGCCCCGCCCCGCCCCGGCGCCCGGCCAATGGGAGGCGGGTCCCACGGCCCGGCCCGCCCGGCCCCGCCCTCGACGCTCGCGGCCTCCCGGGCGCCGCCGTCTGCGGTTCCGCGTGTCCTGGC